AGGTGAAGGGACTTTTATAGCTCTACAGTACCCTCCAAAACTCCATCTTAAAGTTATTTAACTAAATAAATGTGGAAAGCCAATTAAGATAACTAACAATTAAGATAACAAATAACAATTAAGATAACTTCTTTCAGAAGTTGCAAGTTATTCATTCAACTTTCCAGCCAACATTGTGTTTGATGTAAGTATCTATGCTTCCCTGGGCGGAAGAAAGATTTTCCCTAGCAGAAAGATTTCAAGGAGCTTGTAATGCTCTGCTGATACATATTACTACATTATATCATCCACAAGAAATACAGAGCAAATGATACTCTCAAAGCTATAATAAATATTCTAGTTTAGATTTATTATTTTAGAATCACACTGTGGTCTAAGAAAACAACTAAGATATTTCTTTTAATTACATCTCTACTTTTTATATTGGACCCATAATTGTGTGTCAAAAAATAGCAAGCATAGGGCCGGGGATTTAGCTCAGCGGTTTGGTGGCCTGCCTTGCAAGCGCAAGGACCCGAGTTCAATCCCTGGTCCCCAAAAAAATTTTTTTAAATAGTAAGCATAATATGTATAGAGAACTGAACTGCAGGTGAAGTGCAAAAGATTCGAGAATGGAAACCCAAAATCAGATCTGATTTCAGTAAGAAATCTTCATGAAGTCAGTGAAAAATCTCTTAGGAAAGAGAAACATGCAGATCTATAATCTGAAGAAATAACTTTTATGACAACACAAAACTAGAATGCACTAGAATAGGGACAAACTAGAGAAAACAGAACAGAGAGTACATTAAGGAAAATAACACCTAGGTCAAAGAAAAGACAGCTTTATCAGGTGGTTACACCTACTTACTCTGTGACAAGGGCAGTGCAGAGAAGCATAAGAAAAATGTTAATTTTCTGTCTGGGAATGAAGAGCTAGCCACAACAGGACTGGTCATCTAATCAGTCTCTACTCCCCAGACACAAACTTACCTGCAAGGGGCAAACACAAAGATAAATTAAGGATGAATAAAAGGACCAAACTCAGTAGTGGATCCAATTCAAAAGTCATGCAATTTTCCCTAGTGCACCATCCTGCCAATTGCTTGTTGACATGGCACAGAAGAACAGAAAAAGAATGTGGGTCTGGATGGAAGGACAGGAGTTAAACTGAAATGTTTAAATGGAAAGGAATGAGTGATCATTTCAAGTAAGAGGCAAAGCCATGAGACGGGAACAAGAGAAACAAGAGTGATAGTTGAAATCCCTACAAGCCTGAAGCACTCGATTACCTGTTCATCACAGTCAGATTCCAAGAAGGTCGTATCTTTTCTTAAACAGTTATCAAACCCATGCTCATCACTTTCATTAAGACATTCACAACCAGCCTTGTTGATAAAAGGCATTAAATCCATCTGAAAAACATTAAATCAAGACATTAGGTAAAACATTCTGGCTTGGTATAAAAATGTCAAAATTTTAAATAAGCGATTCTCACCAGATCAAGCAATTTTAAAGAAAACATCTCCTTAAAAACCTACTAAAACTTTTAAAATAGTCCTTTCATTTGAATTTCTGACTGAGATCTCACTATTAAAGCCAAATCTAGGCTTAGCTCACCCGAGAAGGTAGAAAAAACTAAGTCTTTATTAGGATTACAAAATGTTGACTTACACTTTTTAGTAACTGTTTTGTAGTAGAAATTTTGCAAATCAAAATACAACATCTGTAAGACTCAAAAAAAGCCTGTGTTCCTATTCTAGCAGATGGACAGAGACTCTTCAAGCCTATACTTATCGAAAGGTTAAGTTTAAGATGAATAGCAGGTGTGGACATGACTGATTTTGTACTGGGAACTGAACCTAGGGCTTTTGCATGGAGCTATTATATGCTGAGCCCTTTTTACAGTATTTTAAAATTTAAAGCAGGATCTTGTTTGACTGCTCAGGTGGAGCTCATATTTGAGACCCTTCTATCTCAGCCTTCTAGATTGCTGGGATTATAATCTTGTGCTGCCACACTTGACCAAATTTTTATTATGAAAAATATTAAGCATATACAAATAGAGTCATGGCCATTTGTTTCACCTCTACCCATCCCTATATTCTATACCTCTCCTCCCAATTATTTTGAAACAAATATTAAGACATTCTTTTCATTATATTCATGCAAATGTCACATATTTCTACAAGTACTCTTTAAAAATATACATGCTTAATAGCTTTATCACAACTAAACCATACCTTACCAAATATCAGTGTTCAAATGTTCTCAACTTCTCATAAATATTTTAAATTGAATTATTACATTCAAAGTATAGAATTAAAAATGTATAAACATGGTATATGATTAAAATGTCTGTTAAATGTCTTTTAATCTATAATCAGTTGGCTATAGATTCCCTATGACTAGATTTTGCTAGGTATTTTCCCTGTGGTGTCAGTCAAAAAATTCCTGGTCTCCTGTGTGCCCTATTCACCAATACTTCCATAATTCCAAAACAATTTCAAAGAGTTATAGCAAAAGTGGTCATGCTTGTCTTTTTTTTGATGCTAGTGGGAATGCCTCTTATTTTTCTCCATTAAGATTAGTCAATACTTCAGAAATAAATGGGGTATTGAATTTTTTCAAATATCTTTTCTGTATAGACATTGTGAATTTTCTCCTTAGCTCTATTAATATGACATATTACACACACATTTGTTGCATGACAAATCCAATTTTGTTCAGGATGATATTTTTTATTCTACTACTGGACTGTTAGGTGCTAAGAATTTTTTAATAGTATTTATAACTGACACTGGCTAGCAACTTTTCTTTTTTGGTACATCATATGTTGTGAGATTCTGGAATCCCATAGTTACTTTTAAAAGAACTTTGGAAGATTTTTCCTTTATTTATGGTCTTAAGTACTTAATGCAACACTAGATCTCCTGATTTTTAAAAATCCGGCAACACTCACCTTGGAAATCACATGGAACTTTGTGAAAGAGCTCTTACTATTTCCTCTACGGTAAATGGTCTGTGTACATGTTGTTTCTAGTGAAGCTGATTTCTGTAAACTATCTTTAAGAAAATCATCTATTTAATCTACTAAACAGTGACTGCTTTTACAGTTCACCAAGTATTACTGTATATAGTTATTTATTTATTTATTTGGTACTGGGGATCAAACTCGGGACCTTGTGCTTGCAAGGCAGGCAGCAGAACCAAATCCCTGGCTACTGTATATAGTTTACTGATCACTTGTTTATATTCCTATAACAAAGAACCATTACATTTTTCATCCAGAGGATACTAATATATATGCATATGGTTCTGAAAGACTGAACGCTTTTGCATGTCAAATTAAATATCAAAATGATTATTCAGGGTATCTCACTATGTATTCCAGGCTGGCCTTTAAACAGAGGTCCTCCTGCCTCAGTCTCCTGACAGTTGGGATTATAGGCCTATGTCACCATATCCAGCTTACATGGGTGCTTGGATCAAAATAACTTCCATTTTGAGGCACATTAAAAAAAAAAATCACATTTAAATACTTAGTATTTTGTAACACAACAAGGCCTGGGAAAACCAGCACTAAACTGCAGATTTGACTTAAATGCAAACTGACATTCTGAAAATATGCATAATGCCTACTGAGCCTGAGTTGAGGAAAAACAACTATAAAGGACATCTGGGTGATAATTAAGGAAATCTGAATGTAAGAAAGTGGAAGTATTGTACTTATCGATATTAAGTGTGTTAGGAGTGAAAATGGTATGATTAACAGGAAAATGTTTTCCTATCTAAGGACATTTGCTACATTAAAATATTTAGAGATGAACTACCATCAAGTTGTCTGTAACTTACTCATTCTGCCAAAATAAAATGTGGCTAGTGAAGAAGTGCAAAAAGAAGAAAATATTTATAATTAGACAATATAGGTAAATGGTATACATGGCCTATTGTAGTACTCTAGACTTTTTAAAAATGTTTCCTCAAAAAAAATTTTTAATTGGCAAGGAACAGGAAAAATCCATCAGAAGAAACAAAGGAAAGTAAGAAAAGCTTTTCTACACCTTTGTGTTTCAAGTGCTTCTGTATTTACTGTATAAATTGGGATTATATAAAGTTTTATTTTATTTTGATAGATGCAACAAATTGGTAGGCCAAAGGCTAGTATTCAAAGGTCCTAAAATACTGAAATACACTAACACATCTAAAGTTCAAAACACAAGCCAATGCAAGTTCTAACCAGGAGTGCCTGGCATTCATATTTCTGGAGAGAGGAAAACAATTGAGAAGGTATGAGAGGGAGGTTATTTGAAGCCAAACTAAGACTTACTTTTAACAAATGTGAAAAAGAAAAGATACAATATTTTCAATTTTTCCAAACTTCAGGAAACATTTACAAAAACTGAAAATTAAAGCTGGGTGTGGTGGTGCACATCTGTAATCAGCACTTAGAGGCTAAGGCAGGAGGACTGTCAGGAGTTCTAGGGCAAGTTCAAGGCCAGCCTGAACTACCTAAGACCACCCTGTCTCAAAGAAGGGAGGGAGGAAGGGAGAAAAGGAAGGAAAGAAGGGGAGGGGGAAGGGAGGGGAGAGGTGAGGCAAGGCAAGGCAGGATGAGCCAGCATGTTCATAAAACCCTTTTCTTATACTAGGGATCTATGTAGCTCACTGGTAGATGGCTTGCCTGTATGCATAAGATCCTGGGTTTGATCCTCTTAAAAACAAAAGAAAGAAAAGAAGCCATAATTTTACAAAAAACCATGAAAACATTTTTGCCCTGCTTATACTTAAATTTACTTAAGATATATTATCTTCATTTACTGACTTACCATCATTAAGTTCTATTTGTTTTAAGGACAATGATATCCCCAAAAATAGATTACCAGTTTTAAATATTTAACTACCCTATAAGACCAAAATTAGCTGAATGATACATAACAGGAAAAAAATGTTTTTACTAGTTTTATACATTTTATCCATATTTGCATATAAGCTATTTTTTTTTTTTTTTTTTTTTTTTTTTTTTTTACTTTGTGCTTGTGAGGCAGGTGGCAGAACCACTAGGCTAAATCCACAGCCCAAAAGCTAATTTTTATGCCTTAATTTTTTTTTCAGGGCTGGGAATTAGCCACTGCCTGCCTCGCAAGCACAAGCTCTCAAGTTCAAGTTCGATCCCAGGTACCAAAAAAAAAAAAAAAAAACAAATCAAAAAAAAATTTTCCCTCTTATTTCCTGAGGCCAAAACACTTGTATCACATTTCGCTGAAACAAGCATCCCTATAGCTAAAAATGGACTGTTTGTTGTGCATACTGGGCCTCTTCATGCAAATATTCTTAGGAATGAAAGGAAAAACTAAAAAGAGATAAACACAACAGTTTAAAGTTAAGTCATTTCAAAAATTTTCTGAAGGTGCCACTGAAACCAAGCTCAATAGGCTACAACCTTCGCAAGTGTGAATATGAATCTCTTGAGGCTCAGAAGCATTAAGGACCTGAAAAACATTCCCAAGTGTTATGGCTTGTATCTAGATGTGCCCTCAAAGCTTCATGAGCTCACAGGTGGGGCTTTTAGGAGGTAGCTGATCACTGATGTGTGTTACTAGTTTGGTCCACTATGGGTGTGGGTGATGGATTCACAAGGAGAGAAGACCCACCATGGGTTCATGTGGGACCTACCAATAGACTCAAAGCCTGAATGGGATACAAATGAGAAGAAAGTAGCAGCAAGGCTTACTTTTTCCTGTCTGTGCCTGCCATCTGTTTCTCCTCTGCCATGCCACCCTGCCCTGTGGCCAGCTGGCTGAAACTTCTACAAACTGTGCATTAAAATAAACCTATCCTTCTTTAATTTGTGGGTGTCTGGTATTTTGTCCCAGGAATCAGAAAGTAACTCAAATACCAAAAATGTAATCATCGAAAGAAGACCTTTGACTCTAGAACACTGTGAGAAGACAGAACTCTAACCTAACCAGCCCTCATCTCATTTATAAACACTAGCTATCTTTGTACTTTTTATTTCTCTGACTTTACTGAGCTCTCAAATTTTCTTCAGAACATCCAAATCAGAATGGAGCTGAGCTCTTTCCTTACTGCTAAGTATTTTCCTAGTACATTCATCATTTCTAATTCTTGTACAAGATGTTTTATAGAATATTGGCTCCTGTGAGACGTCTTAAAAGTCTAACTAAGGAATGATCCCTAGATGGAGGAACTTAAAAGTATCAGAAAAGGCCGGGTGTGCTGGCGCATGCCTGTAATCCCAGCACTCAGGAGGCTGAGGCAGGAGGATCACTCTGAGTTTGAAACCAGCCTGGGCTACATAGTGAGTTACAGGTCAGTCTCAAGTACATAGTGAGACCCTGTCTCAAAAAAAAAAAAAAAAAAAAA